AACTTAAAGTCAATGCTCACATCCACCACATACCTAAGAAAATTTCCAAAACGGTGCACATACTTGAAATAAAAAAAAAACGTTATCTCAAACACAGCAACACACATTATACTACACTCTAATTCATCATCACCTCATCTATGGTATATGTGCATTGAGATCTATAACAGGAAAAACCTAAAACACAACCAAACTCAATTAAAATTTGCTGTTAGAATAATCACTCAATCAGGTTCCAGATAACACACACTTGATAAGATGAGATTTCTTTCAGATTTTTAACCCTGCAGGGTTAGCCACCCAGGATAACTCAAGAAAGGCAGTGCGTCATCGAGGACTGTCTGTCTTATTTCCATTGGGGTCCTCAATCTTGTCCCCCAGGATGCAACCCACACCAGTCAACTAACACCCAGGTACAGTGGACCCTCCCATTTCGTTAGGCTCCGTTTTTGTGAATTTCAGTTATCGCCGATTTTTTCGTAAAAATATTGGCTCAGTTTTCGTTACTTTCCTCCATTCTCGTTGGTGGTACGGAACATGTCTGAGTGCCCGCACGCACACAACCTCCCACACATGCATTCTGAGGCGGGTATCACTTTGTTTCCCATTGAATGAACATTATCCTGCGAGGTCATAGGAAACATTTTGTAATAATTCATTGTTTATTCTGTGTGACTGCTAAATAAGCCACCATGGGCCCAAAGAAAGCTGCTAGTGCCAGCCCTTTGGTAAAGAAGATGAGAAACATGACAGGATTAAAGAAAGAAATAATAGAAAAATACGAAAGTGGCTTACGTGAGGCCAACATTGCCAGGATGTACGCCAAGCCTGCATCAACCATCAGTTCCATCGTGGTGAAGAAAAAAGAAATCGAGGGGTAAAAGTGATAACAAAACAGAGATCACAAACACTCAAAGATGTTGAGAAATTGTTGGTATGGATCAATCAAAAACAATTAGCAGGAGATAGTGTTGTGAAGTTGATACGTAATTTGCAAAAAGGCAAGGCAGTTGCGTGCCAATCTCGTAAAGAAAATGCCTGGAATGAGTGTTGATGTTAGTGAATTTAAGGCCAGCAAAGGCTGGTTCGAAAAATTCAAGAAGCGTAATGGCATACACAGTGTTGTAAGGCATGGTGAGGCTGCAATTTCAGACAAATATGCAGCTGAAAAATTCGTGCATGAATTCAAGGAGTACATAAAGGCTGAAGGATTCCTCTCCCAACAGGTGTTCAATTGTGACAAAACAGGCCTCTTTTGGAAGAAAATGCCAGAGGACCTACATCATGCAGAAGGAAAAGGCACTCCCAGGACACAAGTCTATGAAAGACAGGTCAACTCTCTTGTTGTGTGGTAATGCAGAGTTCAAGAAAAACATTGTTGTTAAGAGTAAATTGTGTGTGATGTGGAAGGCTAACAGTAGGGCATGGGTCACCAGGTAAATTTTCCTTGATTGGTTCAATGAAGTGTTTGGCCCAAGTGTGAAGAAATACCTCCTGGAAAATCAAGTGCCTCCTGTTAATGGACAATGCTCCTGCTCATCCTCCAGACTTGGATGACCAATTGTGTGAGGAGTTTAGTTTCATTACAGTGAAGTTCTTGCCCCCTAAAACCACTCCTCTCATCCAGCCCATAGACCAGCAGATTATTTCACACTTCAAAAAACTCTACACCAAAGCAATGTTTCAAAGGTGCTTTGATGTGACCTCAGACACTGAATTGACCCTAAGAGAATTCTGGAAGGATCACTTCAATATCCTCAATTGCGTAAGCCTTACAGATAAGTCTTGGCAGGGAGTGACTTCCAGGACAATGAATTCTGCTTGGAGAAAACTGTGGCCAGAACATGTCCAAGAGAAGGATTTTGAAGGGTTTGAGGCTGACCCTGTCGACCCTCTGCTTGTTGTGAAATCTGTAGTGTCTGTGGGGAAGTCCATGGGATTGGATGTGAGTGGCTGTTATGGGGCTATAGGACCCAACATGTATTTATAAGTAACAGTTACTCTGGAATACCTAATTATATTGAATTGATGGGGACTCAGTTCTAAATGTCATAAGGACTGATCAACCTTATGACTGAGAGGCAGCTGGGTCAAGCCTATTTTTCTCAATATAATAGGTTATACTATAGACACATAAACACACAATTTAAATAAGTAGTTTATAAAGTTGTATTTCTTTTTGTAAAAGTAAAATTAAGGTGTGGTAGAATTGTGGCAACTGGAGAATTGTGCTTGGCAACAGTCTTTTGTTTTGGTGGGAGGAGCTTAGCTAGGCTCCTCCCTCTCCCTCTCTCTGACTCTCTCTCTGAGGCTGACCTTCAACCTGGCAGGACCTCTGGGTCCTTCTTCTATCTTCTTTTGGGGCATTATGTGTGCTCCAGGGGTGAGTTTTTATAATTTAAGTTGTGGCCATCATACCCAGGGTGACTAAAGTGTGTCAAAACACTGGTTAGTCCAGAGTTATGTTAAGAAGAGAGGACAAAAGTTGTTGGAATACACCATGTGGGAGAACAGCTATGGAGTGTGTAGATCTTTGTTTTTAAAGTGTGAGGCTTTAATTGTATATTCTGTACATATCTATTGAGAATCTCCATGGGGAAGTGGAACAGAATTCTTCCTCCGTAAGCCATGCGTGTTGTAAGAGGCAACTAAAATGCCGGGAGCAAGGGGCTAGTAACCCCTTCTCCTGTATATATTACTAAATGTAAAAGGAGAAACTTTCGTTTTTCCTTTTGGGCCACCCTGCCTCGGTGGGATATGGCCGGTGTGTTGAAAGAAAGAAGAAGAATCTATTGAGAATACAGTTATATTTTTATAGTAGTAGTTTACATAACGTGTGAAGAGGGCTGGTGAGAGGATATCAGAGACACTGAGGATGATCAGCCATGATGTAAGTATTACCCCTAGACAGATACGGCCATTAAGTAAAAAGCTACCCCACACTAGAACATGTAGTGAGAACCTTACTATCAAAGTAATAAGGGACAACCAACGTAACAGTGGCCAGGATGTGGAAGAATTGGTGGAGGACCACAGTGAAGAGCTAACCACTGAAGAGCTGCAAGACCTTCATCTGGAACAGCAACTGACCACAGCTGAGGAAATTGCTCCAGAGGAGGAGGAAGAGAGAGGGGAGAGGTCTTCTTCAGTGATTAAGGACATTTGTGCAAAGTGAAATGAGGTGCAAACATTTGTGGAGGAAGATCACCCTAACAAAGCTGTTGCAAGCCATGTCAGCAACATGTGCAACGAAAATGCCGTGTCCCATTCTAGGCAAATCTTAGAGATGCCAGAAACTATGGAAATATTTTTAGTGCGACAGGGGTCCAGTGACTCTCAAGTTGGTCCTAGTGCCATTAAAACACAAAGAAGGGAAGTAACCCAGGATAAGGACTTGGTACCTGAAGTCTTTATGGAAGGGGATTCCCCTTCCAAACAATAATCAGTCCTCCCTCTTCCCTGTCTTCCATACACCAACACGAGTCTTCAATAAAGGTAAGTGTGATGTTAAATACTCATTTATACATTTTATTAGTGCTTTATAATATATTTGTCATTCTTTTCTGTATGTAAATCTATATTTAATCTCTAAAAAAATTCTTTTTGTTAATAGTTTTGGAAGTCTGGAATGGATTAATTGGATTTACATTATTTCTAATTAGGAAAATGGTTAGTTTTCATGAATTTCACATTTTGTCAGACTCTTTGGAATGGATTAATCATGAAAAGGGGGGGGGCCACTGTACCTACTTACGGTAGGTGAACAGGACGACAGGGCCACTGTACCTACTTACTGTAGGTGAACAGGATGACAGGTGTAAGGAAACGTGTTGAAATGTTTCTACCCCGCCAGGAATCGAACCCGGGCCCTCCGTGTGTGAAGCGAGAGCTTTACCAGCCAGGCCATGGGGTCACCTGATGTTCAAAACTGTGAATTTACTCAGCATACTAAATTTACATCCGCACACACTACAGTGCACACTGTTTATACAGATCACTTAACACAAATACAAACCCTGACCTGAAGCTCTTCTTAGAAAGCAACAAAAGAATGCATACACAAAACAACAGAATTCTTTTTACAATTGCTTATGTAAAATTTGAAACGATATAAAATTAGTGTGAAATACAGTGGACCCCCGCTTAACGATCACCTCCAATGCGACCAATTATGTAAGTGTATTTATGTAAGTGTGTTTGTACGTGTATGTTTGGGGGTCTGAAATGGACTAATCTACTTCACAATATTTCTTATGGGAACAAATTCGGTCAGTACTGGCACCTGAACATACTTCTGGAATGAAAAAATATCGTTAACCGGGGGTCCACTGTACAGTGTAAAAATGCACCGTCCAACTGTTTTTAACAACTTCACAATCCACATTTTTATTTCACTACTATTACAAATGTTATATACCAAAGCGATACATAAAATCGTGTCATTACGATTTCGTGAGTCATCTTATAAAATGTCAAAATATTGTATACTGTAAGTACATTAATGTGTAAAGTGACATTTACAACACTAGGAATCAAGTCAATAAAGAAATATAGCTGTGTAAATGTGTCTTATCTATCTGTTAGTACTGTATACCATTTATAAGGTAAACCATGGGATTCCAGTAAACTCGGTTTAATAATTATCCATTAGTTATAAGATATAGAGCTGCCTGAAATATTCTCTATAATCCGGGGATTATTGTTCAGTCTGTTAACACGTTATTAATTCCTACATCAGTTGTGTATTCTACTGTACAAAAATGAAGATTCTGATTTTTATTTTATACCTTATATCAATACTATTGGCTGCCAAATGTCTTACCTAGTTCATGTAAATCCTCAATTAGGTACAATATCGATACAGTACTGGCAGAGTACCTGGATGAAGGGGAGGTGCTATGTAACCTTTACAGGTTCTGAACTTTCTGCCGATTATAATAATAATTCCTGAAAATATTAAATTTAAATGTTATCATAGGCATAATATAAAGACAAAGAAGTTTAGTGTAATATAAAGAAATTTATTTTGCAAAATGCATACATGATTCAATTATTTTTCCGTAAATGATAAATGTTATAAATTCACCTTCAGACTGCAGACGAGCTGGAATATCATATTTTGCCGACTCCAGCTTTTCTAAATCTACTCAGCACTTTTTTTTTAAATATAAATTGTAAGTGATCACTCCTGGTACATAGTGAAAAGACCAGTGTGGGAAAGTGTCAATGGTCGGCAATCGAAAATAAGGTCCTGTTTGTTATGATGTCTCTTACCTTCATGCAGCAAAGAGTTTATACACTATCAATCTAATCGATGCTCATTGGAACCCTAATTGATTTAGTGACGATGGCTTGATTTGTTATAATGCTTATTCTTCAAACTGTTCAGCATGTATTATATTCTTTACCAATTGTTGTTACTATGATGTTATATATCTCACAAGTAGGGATGGGACAATACAAAAATGTTTGCTGATACCAATACCAGCACTCTATTTTTGGCCAAACTGATATTATCAAAATTATCTGGTACCCACTGATACTAATATCAAAATTAACCGATACTTACCAATACAAATACTCAACTTTACGTTGATACCAATACTCAACTTTAGGTCAACACTGATACCATCAAAATCAGTCGATACCAATACTTTGGAACATCCCTACATATAAGAGAAGAGAAAATTATGTGAAATAACTATGATTTTTACAAATATACAGCAGATTTTCGTGCAGAAAATTTTCATCAAATAATTAATTTAGCGCTAAAGATTATCTTAATTTTCTCCTTGCACTTACGTTAATTTCATTAATGAATGTGAAGAATTTTTAATAAGAAATATATATGTATTTCATTCTCATATTTATAGACTTTTTCTAACATTTATCCAATTGCTGATCATTTAGTTTCCATTTATTTAATCTCACACACACGCACACACTGTATTTACACAAGAGAATAACACAAGCTATAATACGAATACGACAGTAGAAGAACTAATACCTTCACAACTATAAACTTTCCTTAGATCAAACGAAGTGTTTTTTGTATAGGCCGCCTGTTATTACAAGAAAAGTTATTCTTCAGAATTTGAAAATTTCACATAATTAACTTATGTTACAATACAGTAGTCCCCCCTGTATCCGCAGGTGATACTTTCCAAGACTCGTTAAATCATAATGACGTGATTGCAAACAAACCATACCACGGGAGGGGATAGAACCCGCGATCAGAGAGTCACAAAACTCCAGCTGGCCCGGGTTCTATCCCCGCCCATGGTATAGTTTGATACTTTCCAAGACCTACCATGCTTGAAACCATGAATAGTAGCAAACTCTATATAAGTTTTTTTTTTCATTTACATACATACCTATGATATTTTAATTGATACATTATGCATAATAAGACATTACCAGCATTAAATAAAAAAATACATTGCACATTGTTATATTTATGTTCTCTCTCAAGGAACGATGAAGCAATTTAAAATGTCTCGTACACACACAATTTAAATATACAGTACAGTGAACCCCCGGTTAACGAACTTTTTTCACTCCAGAAGTATGTTCAGGTGCCAGTACTGACCGAATTTGTTCCCATAAGGAATATTGTGAAGTAGATTAGTCCATTTCAGACCCCCAAACATACACGTACAAACGCACTTACATAAATACACTTACATAATTGGTCGCATTGGGAGGTGATCGTTAAGTGGGGGTCCACTGTATTTGAAACCTACGAATCTTTTATTTTTGGAATTTTCTGATATACAATTTTAGGCCGCAGTAAACTGTGGATAACTGAAACTGTGGAAACCAAATCAGTAGATATGGGGGTATACTGTACAGTGGACCCCCGCTTTACGATCACCTCCCAATGCAACCAATTATGTAAGTGTATTTATGTAAGTGCGTTTGTACATGTATGTTTGGGGGTCTGAAATGGACTAATCTACTTCACAATATTCCTTATGGGAACAAATTCGGTCAGTACTGGCACCTGAACATACTTCTGGAATGAAATAATATCATTAACGGGGGTCCACTGTATATGCTATGTTACTTGGTTTAACTTACAAAATGATAAGATTTTATGCATCAGTCATTAATGCATATTACAGTGTGTGTTTTAATTAGAGTAAGCGCTCTCATAAAACTATAATATAAAGTGTTATTTTTACGCAAATGTAATTAAAAAAGTGTATCCAAAGTTAAATATTAATCTCTATGACGGCCTATTGTTTATGTATCTGAATTTTGTACAGTTTCTATTTATATGCAGTAAGCTCGTCTGTTATGTTTTTTTGTAAATGCAACCCAAAAAATTTAATAGCATGGAACATTCTTGTTACTCAATTTGGGATGAACTTTTTAAATCCCAATTTACAAAAAAGAATCACACAATATAGCAGTGATTGTTGAATATGAAATAAAAAATTGTATAAACTTAAAATGCACAAGCAATAAGCTGCAATTAAATAAACTGATGACAATGTC